TAAAAACTCAATAATTAGCAATGAATCCTATTATAAATATTTGGGTGTCTATTTTTCTGACAATTTCAAGTGGAATAAACACATTGATTTAACCCTGACAAAGGCAGGCTGGATGCTAAACTTCGTACGCAGAAATTTTAAGCAAGCTTCACAAACCGTGAAACAAACCCTTTATCTCGTGTATGTGAGACCTATTCTAAATTATGCTAGTGTAATATGGGATCCCCATCAGCAATATTTGATTGACACACTAAAAAAAGTTCCAAACCGAGCAGCCAGACTACAGCCAGACTATAGCCAGACTATAGCCAGACTATAGCCAGACTATAGCAATAACTATAATTGCTTTGCAAGCATCACAGGAATGAAACAAACATTGAAATGGGAGCCACTGGTGGTAAGGAGACAGAAACTGCTGCTTAAATTTCTTCATTGTATTTATTACAATGGAAATGACATTATCTGTTCACACCAACATACATCTCAAATCAACGAGACCATTAACGAAAAATATTAGAATACCACAACAAAACCCACTTTATTGGTAGTTCTTTTTTCGTAAAAACAATACAGGAATGGAACCGTCTACCGGATGATATCATCAATGAAACTGATAATGAATCCTTTTTTTCTTCCTTGTAACAACGCCTACAATATCACTGCCACTAAGAATGGTTTGTTGTCTCGAAGCGTGTGGGTGTTTACAAATGCATAACTGTGACGTTGTTTGTAATTCGCGTCACTCACCATTATTCGTGTTTTTTCTTTTAAAATATCTAAAGTGTTGTTGTATTTATTGTATCTATTGTATCAATTGCAAACTATGAAGTGAAATTACTCATGTGTACCTCCTTTGATTGATATGTGGGGTTTAATGTCCCAAAACCATTATGTGATTATGAGAGACGCCGTAGTGGAGGGCTCCGGAAATTTCGACCACCTGGGGTTCTTTAACGTGCGCCCAAATCTGAGCACACGGGCCTACAACATTCCCGCCTTCATCGGAAATGCAGCCGCCGCAGCTGGGATTTGAACCCGCGACCTGCGGGTCAGCAGCCGAGTATTTTAACCACTAGACCACCGCGGCGGGATATGTGTACCTCCTTTACGCAATGCCTTACGGCGATGTAGGTGAAGCGTAAATAAATAAAAAAAATAAATGCAGTGTTTGTGTTTTTTTGATGGCCCACACCTAGTCAAATGTATGAGGAATTACCTGCTGAAACAGGTGTTGTAGACTAATGTGGGCCATGAAATTTGGGCGCCCTACGACATGTTGTTCGTTGAAGACGGCAAACTTCCTTACTACCGCAAGGGGTGTTGAAAACTACACTTTCTCATCTGCACCCATCGAACACACACACAAAAAAAAAAAGTTAAATAGGCCAAACAAGTCTTCAGCAGGGGTGTCACTAAAGGTCTCGATTATTACTCAAGCGAAGGGGTGCCAGGTCTAGAAAATGTGAGAGCCACTATGGTCTAGAAACTGCGAAAGCCACATTAGCAAAGTGAGGTGTTGGGCTAGTTGGCTTTTCATGACTGGAAAAAATTGTGCTACAATTGCTGTGGAAAACAAAGTTAACTTTGTTTTCTGCAGCAATAGTAAAGCAATTTTTCCAGCCATGTGAAAGCCACTCTAGTCTAGAAAACATGAGACTAGGTAAAATATATCTAACTAGATTTAGAAAAACAGGGAAACCTCTCCATGGTGTTCAGGCATGCCAACATTCAGCTACATAACATGGGAGTGCACGGAAGACCCACATGTACAGACAGCCTACACACCACTAAGCTCTACATGTTTAACAGGTAGTCGGAGGCATGGCTTGTACAAGGGAAAGCACAGCCAAATAGCTCTTTTTGACCAGGTCCAGCCCAGCAAACCACTCATGCAGCAGAGGCCTGAACTAAGGGCTCAACCATAACTGCCACAATGTTTTTTATCTGAATAACGTTTCGTCCTCTTCTTCCACCGAAATTATACAAAAAGAGAGCCTGAAGCTAGGCAGTAAACAACTGAGGGTGATAGCATCCTCTCTGCATTTAATGAACAGATGGAAGAGGGATCTTGTCACTGGCAGAATATACCGCGAGAACTTTCTGAAGGATTCAGCTGGTAGAAGATTGCATGTGGAAACCCTCTTCGCAATTGAACTTTAAAAATATTACCTTGGGACTTGTGAAAACCAAAAGTTTAATCAGGATGTCATCAAAAGGCTTTTTGAAATAATTCACTAAGCAGGTGGTCAGAATGAACATCCATTGGTGCAAACCTTCCTTCAGCTGTACAACATGCTTGTCATATATAGCCTAATCAAGCCAACTAAATCCGGAAACTGGGAAGTCCAGAATATAAATTAATCTCATTTACTTACACTCTTATATTTTCCATCAGCATTTTAAGTTGATTCTGACCAGGAAACTAAACTTTAGGAGCCAAAGCAAAATCTTGATGGCTTGGTTGACGAGAAACTAGTGTGTGAAGATGTGTTTGACCATGTGCAACAATTGCACGAGTGAAAGACTGAATTGTTAATTATGTCATCGGGTGTTTGTGTACAAAGCTCCTGAGGCACACAATTTGTTCGGCGGGTAAGCTGAGGCTTGTCTCACTGATGCCTTTCTGAGAAAAACTGCAACTTGCCTTTGTAAACTGCAAGATCCATGAAAAAACTTCGAGGAGGCTTGAGCTTCTCCTTCAAGAGTAGACCATGATAGCCCGAATCTGCCTCATTTTTATCATCTTCTCATTCACTTACCAGGCTTCACTACAAAGTGGACATCTCAACCATGCCAAGAGAAAAAGAATGTCTGTGTGGATAAAATTGGCAATATTAAACTCTCCTAGAATGCCTCATGAAAGTAAAGGAAAGAAGTGTAAATTTAAGGGCTCATTTTCATTGTTAGTGACAACATTAATGAGAAATAACAGACAATGATGCCAAGGAAAATATACGGGATGTGATTACAAGTAATTCTAAATGTGAATTCAAGTGGAAAGTAAAGTTGCATAGAGCCCACTACACTATAACTCCTCATCTTGCGAACCAGTGATATACGGCTGCACATCCATAAAGCAATATGTGCAGCTGCACACTCAGTAGTAAGTAATACAATTAACGTCCCAAAACCACGATGTGCTTTTGAAAGACGCCATAGTAGAGGGCTCGAGAAATTTCGACTATCTGGTGTTCTTTAACGTGCACATAAATCTAAGCACACGGGCCTCAAGAATTTTCGCCATCATTGAAAATGTGGCTGCCGCGGCCGGAATTCGATGCCATGACCGCCCCAAATACAAGTAGTTGTATTTGTATTATGCCAGGCATGAGAAGTATTTAATAGATTTCAGGCATTTGTATGTGCATTTAATTACATATCAGGGAACGTATTGTGTGGCTAAATATAAGTGCTGAGGATGAGCCTTTCTGTGCATTAAAAATGCTAAATGCAGTGAGAGACCTTTTCGATATGGAGTCAGACTTTTCTCAGGCAGAGAAAGTATTTAGAAAAAACAATATTCCTTAGTCATTTTAGCATTGTGACTTTCATTACATCGTCCAAGTTGGTATATGATATACTATGCCACAGCGGTTTGACACATTTCTGTGAATATTGTTACGAGGAGAAGTGTGGTGCCCCGTAGCAATATTTACCATGCCTCTATTCTATTTTTGGTGCCATTTTCCACTGCTTGAGACTGTTCTTAGTCTTGCCATTCATCTGAGCTCACAGTTGTGTATAATCCAAATAAAACTTATGTTGAATTATTTCAACCAATTTTTAAAGTACTGGGACAAGCCTGTTTTGCTACAAATACTAAGAATGTTGCCAACATTTTGATTCTGTAAGCTGTGAATTCTCATAAAAAACATTGAATAAGCTGCATGCACAATATTTGAGATAGAAAGTTAAATACAGAGAGCTAATAGCTAGTTCCCTTAAAACTTCTCTGACTGGCCTTGGTGTAGTAGTTTCAATTAGATGTGCAATTGAGATGTGCAATTAGCACCAACATACAAGCATGTGACAGAAAGTAAGAGTACAGACAAGCAAGATGCATGTGTGTGTGCATGCATGTGAGTGTGTGTGCAGGAAACAGTTAACATCTCATTCATATGAGGGGTAAGTGGTGAGCACTCTCTCTCCAAGTGGCCACACAAAAGCAAACCAGTTTTCGTGGGCTCCAGCTGTGCCTAATGCATAAAATGTAACAGCACTATATAAAGCTTTAAGGAATGGCACGGTACCAAGATTAAAACCATGAACCACTTGCACGCAAGGCTGATGGTCTAACCACTACGTCACTGTGCCATTTTTTCGTGCTTACAAGACGTTTTCAGAGGCCTAGAATGGGAAGAGTTAGGAAAACGAGTTAATGGAGAGTACCTTAACAACCTGCACTTCGCTGATGCCATTGCATTGCTGAGTAACTCAGGGGACAAATTGCAATTCATGATTACTGAATTAGACAAGAAGAGCAGAACGGTAGGTCTTAAAAGTAACTGTGGAGCCGAACCACGAGATTGAAGTAACTAGAAGAATAAAAATGGGGTGGAGCACATTCGGCAAGCATTCTCAGATTATAACTGGTAGATTGCCACTATCCCTCAAGAGGAAGATATATAACAGCTGCATCTTGCCGGTGCTTACCTACGGAGCAGAAACTTGGAGGCAAGCAGGTGAAAGGGAGATGGAAAGTTAGGTGGGTAGATGAGATTAGGAAGTTTGTGAGTATAAAGTGACAGCAGCAAGCACAGGACCGACTTGATTGGCTCAACATTGGAGAGGTCTTTGTCCTGCAGTGGGCGTAGTTGGGCTGATGATGATACAAAGCCATGAAATTATAATCAATTAATCATGTCACCACAACCTATTAACAAAATCACATGGTGAACACAATTAAAATTTTTTTAATGTCCTAGTGTCAAATGTGGTCCACACAATAGTGTACAATTTATACAAAGACACTCAGGGAAAAACACACACATGGGAAGTTGTTGACATGCCAATAAAGTGCCAAACCATCAATTTTACTGCTAAATCCACCACACAGCCCCATACACAAACTTAGCCTGCCTGTGGAAGTCCTAGAAACTGCAGTCATAATCATGATTCCTTCTTAAGTTCAATAGTAGATGCACCGAACACGGTGGTAAGGTATATGCTCAATTTCCTTTGCATGTTGCCTGCGGTAGTCCCAAAGACAGTAGTCAACCAGTATTGAGTTGATTTTCTCAGATGGCATATTTTTTCTCAATTCCTCTCGAACAAGCTGCAAAAGACAGTAAGATGGCAAGTTGAGCCAGTTAGTTGGGATTCATCTGGAACTCGATTAACAGTGCAACACTAGAAATAAAGACAATGAAAGCAGAAACAAAACTTCCTTGTGTTCAAACCTTCCTAGTGCCTATGTCTCTAATGCTGTGCTGTTAACCAAGTTCAAGATGCAAAAGCCAACTCAAAGAAAACTTCAGCACACAGCACAAAGCACTGCAAATACTTGCACTTATACAAGTAGCATTTATAGAAGTTCCATTCAGGTAAGTGTGCTCCAAACATTGAACAGATAACTATAAAAACAATTACATACTTTGGCACTTCATCGGCAGATAAGCCAAAGTTTTAACATTCACATGTAAAAAAGAGCACGAAATGCAGTCACAGTTGCGTTTTGATACGTTTTGTTTTGTATCAATCCGACTCAAAATCTTACACCAGAGCTATCATTACCTTTAGTGACCAAATTTGTAGAGCCACGACATGGCTATCTCGAACAATTGCACATGCCAGTAAATTTTTATGTCACATTCTATGAACACTGTAATTTGTACAGCGCCAGCATATGGCATGTGACAAATTCAAGAAGCAATTCTTTTCAGCTCTTACAGTGCCGCTACAATGTTCACTTCAATGTGAAAGAATTCATCATTACAACTAATTATAGTAAATAACTGTCCTATCATCATTATTGACCACCAACTCATTCAGGCACTCCCCTACCTTAACAAAAACTTTGATATGCACCAATGTACAAGTACGTACAAGGGTGGTCTGAAAAGTTCTCTACCTGATGCAGAAAAAAGCATTTTGGACATTCAAAATTATTTTTATTTTTTAACATAGTCTCTTCTCAGCTCTACACACTTGGTGCATCGATGTTCCAGAGGCAAGATTCCATCTTTAACATGAATTTGTGAAAATTCTGAAAAGTACTCAGCCACAGCAGCAATCGCTTCATCATTTGATGAAAAATGTAGCCCACCAAGAAAGGTTTTGAGTTTTGCGAACAGGTGGTTGTCCAATAGGGCCAAGTCAGGAGAAAAGGGTGGGTGCTCCAACAATTCGTTCTTCAAATCATGCATTTCGTCATTGCAAGATGTCCTTTGTACACCGGTGCAAGATAATTTTCTTCTTCTGCAAACCTAGTATTTTCTCATGAATTTTCTGCTCCAATTGAGTTAAAAGGTCAGAATAATACTCCCTAGTTGTTGTTTTACCCTCTTCAATATAATCCACAAGCAGAATGCATTTAGCGTCCCGAGAAACAGAGGCTATCACCTTTCCTGTGAAGGAAACTGACTAGGCTTTCTTTGGTGCAGAGCACCCGGCTTCAGTCCACTGCTGTGATTATTGTTTAGATTCCAGTGTGTAATGATGAATCTGCACAAGAAGTCCACTGGATTTTTGTTATACAGCTCCAAGGCATGCTGTAACATCATCATGCAGTTGTATTTTTGTTCAGGAGTAAAGGACGCGCGGCATCCATCTTGCACAGAGCTTCTTCATGTGCAGTTCGTTGTGCAAAATGTTGCCTACATGTTCCACTGAGATGCCAACAATCTCAGCAATTTCGTGCAACTTCACTCTCCTGTCTTTAAAACCATATCGTGCACAAGGTCAATCAATTCGGGAGTTGTTTCACTTTTTGGGTACCATTCGCGCGGTTGATCTTCAATGCTCTCTCTCTCCCACTTAAACTCAGCAGCCCATTTCTTGACTGTGGAGTGTGAAGGTGAATCTTGCTTCTAAACTAACAAACCTTTGGTGAATTTCATTTGAAAATAAACTTTCTTTTACAAAGAACTTTCTCACGACACGAAACTCAAGCTTCTCCATGCGTTACAGTGCTTCATACTACACCCACTGTGATCAACTATCAAAGCCGCACGGCTAGTCGGCACTAGATGGCGTTTCATCTGAGACTTGCAGAGACTTGAATAAACGTGCACATGAGTGCTGCAAGTTTTAGCTCACGCGGCTCTTATTGAGGCTGAGAAGTTTTCAGACCACCCTCGTAAGCTACAACCAACATCTGTAAAGAGGAGTCCAGCCAAGGAGAGGAAGTCATGCTCTTATATAACAGCCACACCACAACTTTTCAAGCAATATAAAAAAAAACTTGAACATTATATGAAACTATACATATAGCATTTCCACCTCCAAATGAAAACTGATAAGATAAAAATTAAGCTTAGTGTACTAAATGAGTTTGTGCAAGTAAAAATTAAAAATCAGTGCATGAAGTTAAGCCACTACATATGCACCTGAAATGCTTATGAAAAAGAAAATGGATTTCACTGACCATACATTGTATGTAATACAGCTGCACATCCCCCAGATAATGCAATAAGTGGAGGGAAATATAGCAACTGAGCAATAAAAGAACTTCCTGGAAACTAAATACAATATCACTCAGAAGGACTGAAAGCGCTGTGTCCTATCCCAAACAACACTCGATGTCCCAAAGTCATCCTCAAATAATACAATCATCCTCACATATTTTTCTCAACACCATTGATATGCCCCCGAAAACAACACAAGCTGGTTTGTCCCAGAAATGTCTTTTCAATAGCTTTCCTAGGACAACACTTCATGCTGAAAAGGTTCTTACCAGGACCTTTTGGCGATGACAAAAGGAGTGTACTGAGTGCTTAGATATAATTCCTCGAGTCATTTTCACACCAAGGAGATGTGCCTATATCATGAGAAGATTTTCTCTGCACATTTGTTTTGTACAGTTATTGCATATTTTCACATTGTTTCTTCTCTTTCGGTTGAAAACTTTCAAATTACGCATTTCACTTTCTGAAGCATAGGTAAATAATCAGCTTGGGTATCTAAATTGGTATTCCAAAATGTTCATTTAAAATAGTGTGTTCTTAAACTGGCAGCCATATATAAGTGAAATCTGCCACTGTAGTATAACAAACTAGCTGATGACCACCAAACCCCATGTGATGCCATTCTGGATAGCCATTCCAAGTCATGACTGACTGTCATGATGGGATTTTGCAATGAAGATTGGTGAGCACACTGCTTGTCCTTTGTTCTTTGTGTGTACAGTTAACAAAAGTGAGATATGTCTGAGAATGTAAGTTGTAGATGTCGATAATAGATCAAGTGCTGTGTTTCAGGGTGCATCAGATCGCTCAACATTCTGAATGCTGCTCTCATGGATGAATCAGCACCAGGTGAACAAATTGAAATGAATTGTGCTTTGGAAGATATTTGGAAAGTGAACTGATTGTGCTTTGGAATGTGAATGACGAGAAATGAACGTCTGTCTGACAAATGGCTCGACCTAGGGCAAGTTAACTCGATGCCTGTTTCCAGTGCATTGGTAGAATGTCAGAGCAGAGCCTCTAACATTAGCCCCTTAAACAGGCCCTGCGACACCGCTTGTTCTCGAACTGTGGAATGTACAGATATCACTGCACGAGTCGCAATGCTGAAAACAAAGCTGTTATAATTTTATTTGTACAAAGAAACTACACTCTTTTCGGACTAGAGCAACACACAGCAGCTATTTTTGCAATTAGAAGTCACGCTTCACCATGCGAAAGTGACGACATAGGCTGTGCGTTTTGATTGCTTCGACGGGACAAGTCACGCATAATATTCATACAGTCCCAGGTAGCCACACTATTATACACTAAAAATTATAAAAGCATTTTTTATACTTTATAAGATATTAAAGGATTTCCATTTTTAAATATAAAAATGTGAAAACAATTGCAAAATAATGCCACGAGCGCTGAACAACAGCCACCACGAGGCGAGTCATCCGGTACGTCTCTGTAAAAGGTGCACAGCGATTTGAAACAGCCTTTGACGTCAGTGGGGGAGCGAAATGCGAAAAGGTAATTTTTTTTATTGTTTGCTGAGATTTCGAGGTCTGAAGGCTAATAACTTTTATTACGAGTACCAATATCAATCATTCTTTTTGCATTCATTTCAGTATTCAGCACTACACAAACTACAGTGCTGCAGAACACAGACAAAAAAGCGTTGCAGGGCCCCTTTAAGTGCTCTAGACGAGCAGAGCTCGTCATGCCCAAACTTTCTTCAAGCTGCTTTGGATAAGCAGAGCCTGTCGTAGCAGAAAAGGTACTCCTCTGTAGTGTTTAGGACAAGAAGCACTCGTCTATGGTTTAGATTGCGTGTCATCCACTAAATGGCAGCATTCACACGACAATTCAGTTTTCTTCTGTGGCAGGAGCGTGGTTTTGTATGGAGAGATGGCATGCAGTGATGGCGACTCATGCATAGCAGGCCCATCAACACAAAGAAGAGCTTTTCATTTTCGTTATCTACTTCGAGTAATTATGATTTGGATACAATGTTTATCGTGTGTCTGAAAGTGAAGACAGCAATAACGGTAAACTGAGCAGCTCCTCCAATGATGAAAAAGACAGCTCGTAAGTGAACATCGCAAGTGCTCCCCAGTGAAATTGCTTTGCGTTATTCCATGTTTTGAAATTTTTCACAGAGTCCCGAAGCTTTCCAAGCTAAATAGCCCAAGGGTGCTTAGCCTACTAGCGTGAAAAAAGAGGTGGCGTGTGCAACTGTTCTGTTTATAAGGTTTTTTTTTTTGCAGGTAGCTGGCTTCCTATGTATTATTCAAAGATCAACTTTACTGTGTTCATTTGACTATGTATGTGGTACAAATATTTTTTCAACATCTACTAGCTGCTCTTTAGTACAATCATATTCAAATCAGAAATAAAAAAAAATAGGCACTTTTAATTAGAAAACTTTTTAAAAAATAAAGTGTTTATGAGTTACACATGATGATGAGGGCTGTGTCCTACTTTGAAGGAAGATTACAAACATGGGAGATTGAGTTCTGTTGACTGCTTTAATATTGTTTTTCTTTTCTGACTGCTCAGACTCGGATGCCTGAAAAAGATGTGCTTATAACTAGTTGTGACTAATTACTGTTAAAGTAAATGAATTTTAGTCAACAAGCTTTCCAAGTTGTACTGTCATAGT